GAAATATTGTCAAAAGTCGCAGCTGTTGATGGAATGGCGATCACGACAATTAAAAAATTTCAAGCTATAGCTGGTTACGTGCAACAAAAAGGTTATAAAATGCCAAAAAGTCCGACAACTATTTCAAAATGCATCAACAGCTTTTATAAAGAAAAATTTATTAAACTGCGGGACAAATTTCAAAAATTAAAAACAGCAAATCGTAAATTTGCTATTACAGTGGATCAATGGACAGATTGCACTATTTTACGTTATGTAAACGTAACAGCACATGTACTTGGAATAAACTCAAGTACAATTGAAAGCCATGTTTTGGGTTTGATGGAAATAATTAAGCAGGGAAATGCCGAAGTAATTAAACATTTAGTTGAAGCTAAGTTGGCAGACTTTGGGATTCTCTTAAAAAATGATGTTATTGCATAAACTAACGACGCAGCAGCCGTAATGAAAAAATATGGCAATATATTAGGTGTATTAAATCAATTTTGCCATAATCACGCGCTCCATTTAGCTGTCATGGATTGTTTTTATATAAAAAATGTTATTCCCAATGAAGTGTTTGACGATACCGAATGTTTGCTGATGAAGAAATGGAAGAAGAAGATTCCATAGAATATCAGTGCTCTGAATACAATTTGGAGTTTATTAACGAAAATGAAAATGTAATGACATTGGATATTGATTTTGACCAAATTATTAACAGGTTATGAGGTGTTATAAGAATGTTTAAAAAATCGGCTACAAAGCATTCTATTTTGCAACAAAATATAGCTCAAAAAATGGGAAAAAAACTTAAGTTAAACTTAGACATGAAAACTCGATGGAGTTCTTTGAGTGTAATGATTCAACGTTTTTTAATTCTATCAGAATGTATTAACAAATCCTTAATTGAATTGAATTTTGATCCAATTGCTGAAAATGGTATTTGTGCGCTACAAAACCTTGTTGACGTTCTCGCACCAGTAGAAACTGCTGTTACTGAATTGAGTAAAAATGATGCAAATCTCATAACAGCTGAAGGAGTATACAAATTTTTGTTTGAAAAGTTGCAACCAATGCAAACAGATATAGCAAAAAAACTTATATATGCTATCCAAAAAAGGATGGATGAAAGAAGAGATCCAGTTTTAATGACACTAATCATTTACCTACAGAGTGGAAATATACCAAGTTCCAACGATTATTTTAAATATTCGTCAAAAAATGCAGCAATTTCATTCGCTGTTAAAATTATGGAACAAATATATCCACAAATGTTCATAGAAGAGCATATTAATAGTGATTCTACCTCATCTTCACCTGATGCAGATGATTTAATAGAATTAACACCACAAGTTGGACTGCAAAAAGAACTCCAAAAAGAACTGCAAAAAAAACTGCAAAAAGAACTGCAAAAAGAACTCCAAAATGCAATACGTTCTATTACAGCTCCAAAAAACTGTCATGTTCGCAATACCAGGCAAATTGATAAATATAATGAACTAAAGAAAGCATTTCATCAGTTTGATTCTTTCAAAAAACGATCGGATACGCTGGACGTTTTGTATAATGCTCTTATAACAATACGGCCTACTTCAACAACTTCTGAAAGAGTATTCTCAACAGCAGGCGCAATCAAAACAAAAAGACGAACCAGTTTAAATCATGAAACATTTAATTCAATTTTATTTTTAAAATATTTATGTTTTAAGAAAAAAAAAAAAATTTATTTTAAAAATAATGTTTTAAATAATAAAATAGTTCAAAACTAAACGCTTTTCTTTATTAAAATATAACTATTTTTCTTTTTGTTAATATGTCTTTATACTTTTGAATTATTAAATTATTCGAGTATTCGATTACTCGAATATTTTAAGATTTTACTATTTGATGTTTATACTTTGACACAAATAACATCAATGTTTTGGAATGGCCATCTCAAGGTCCAGACTTGAATCCTATAGAAAATTTGTGGTATATTTTGGACAGAAAAGTTGGTGGCAATAGTATAAAATTGTATCTTTTGTACGTAATTGTTATTTTTTTAACATATTATCTCTCATATTTATATATTATCTTATAGTTTTCTCGTTTGGCGGAGTTTAAAATTGCGTAAGTTGCTGTTAAAATTTACAGCCTAATTTATAATTTAAAGTTTAAGTTGCAGTTACAGTGAGTAAATAACGTATTTGATAAAGATAAAGATATTACTTTTAGTTTTACTTAAAGAAGTAAAAGTAAAAGACTAAAAGTAAAAACATTTTAATATTTAAACTTTAATTACTCATGGAAAAATATTTTATACGAAATAAATTAAAAAACTATCGTCATAGAACTTTATATTTGCGCAAAACCATAGAAGTTTATAATCTATAGAATGAACAAATGAGATCAAAGAAAAAAAAAATTCTAGCATACAATTAAAAATTTAAGTTTAATTGAATGCTGTATTTTGAAAATGTGACGAGTCACACTTTTTTTCAAAAGTGAGGTTATTTGAAAAAAAAATATTTTTTGAAGAAAAGATAAAATTTTTTAGATAAGATAAAGATTTTTTTAGGTAAAATAAAGATTTTTTTTAGATAAAATAAAGATAAAATTTTTTACAGAAGAAATATTTTTTCACTCTCCTGTTAAATTTTTATTTAGTGACTCATCACATTTTCTAAATACAGTGTTCAATTAAGTTTTTCAATCAAATGGTTTTTTAAATTAATGTTATGGTTCAATTTTTTTATTCAAATAGTTTTCCAATAAAAAGTTAAACAAAAAAAACTTGTTTTAGTAAATTGAATATTTCTTTTAGTTTAAGAATATGCTTGAAAACTTTAAAGCAAAAAAGTAGCTGGTTTCTATTAGAATGTATTAACTATTAGACCAAAATATTTAATAAAAACGAATTAATATATATTTTAATATATTTAAAATAGTAAAATTAATAATATAAAATTGTTGATAAAACAACAATTTAAATTATTGTTAATAAGGTAATTTGGTGCAATGTTTTGAAAAACAATGATAAAAACGGAGAAAATATTTGCTTTAAAGTCTTTTCCTTTTTCAACTTTTTCGCTTTAAGGACTTTTTAAATAATTTTGGCTTCCACGCAGAGATTTAAAGTAATTTAAAATCAAAAGTGTTTTATTTTGAATGAAAATCTCTGCGCAAAAGAGCAAATGATCATCTATTAAGAAAGTAAATTTAGCGTGACATACTTTATGACAAAAACATTACTTTTAAAAATTGCCAAAAAAAAAATGCTAAACTAGAAAAAAGTAATTGAACAACAAAAAACAAAAACAAAAAAACAAAAATATTTTAAGAAAAAACTAATTGGGAAGGTGTGAAAAGCAATCGCGATATGCTATATATATATATATATATATATATATATATATATATATATATATATATATATATATATATATATATATATATATATATATATATATATATATATATATATATATATATATATATATATATATATATATAATATATAAATTAGTAGAAAATCACTTGACAAAATTTTTTTTCATTTTACACTGTGTTTCATCAACAAAGACTCATCAGAAATTTCTGATGAGTCTTTGTTGATGAAACACAGTGTAAAATGAAAAAAAAAAATTTTTGTTAAGTGATTTTCTACTAATTTATACTTGCTCTGTTCTTTTAAGAACATTGAGCACTCTATTTTATAGAACACATTTTTTTAAAAATTGTTTAAATATATATATATATATATATATATATATATATATATATATATATATATATATATATATATATATATATATATATATATATATTATATATATATATATATATATATATATATATATATATATATATATATATATATATATATATATATATATATATATATATATATATATATAATTAATGTTGTGGTCAAACAAAAAAACACTGCATATAAAATATTTCTTTTATTGTTACTGTTTTATTGTTGTAAGATACACTAAATTTAAGTTTAATATTTTTAACTCTAGAGGCCTATCAAAAAATCATCAGTAGTGTTATTTATGTTATCAAAATAATATTTTCTTGTTTTTAAAACAGGATTCATACTTTAATCTTTATAACTATTATAGTCAATTTAGTCAAAATATTTTAAATTTTTACTATGGAACCATTTGATGTTGTAAATGTTTTAACTTCTTGAAGGTAGAATTTGCATATAATACAATGATTATTTTATATTTAAATAATCCTATTTCTTTTTTGATTAAATGGAACTTTGCAGAGGTCGGTATTCTTAACAGTATGAGTGGTTGTTTAAATGCAATTACTGGCTGGATATTTATAACTTTTTATAGCAACTTGAATTACAACTTTTTATAGCAACTTGAGTTGTCAACCTTTCATAACCGAAACTAATCTTTTACTTAATCTATCTTTAAGTGAAAAAGTAAAGGAAGTTTTTTCAAATATACAGCCAGTAATTGCATTTAAACAACCACCCAATCTGTTAAGAATACTGTAATAATATATATATATATATATATATATATATATATATATATATATATATATATATATATATATATATATATATATATATATATATATATATATATATATATATATATATATATATATATATATATATATATATATATATAATTACCTCAGAATTAGGGTCTGCATTCGGTAATGCTGACCTAACTGCCGACCTCAACGTGTTTGTGGTCGGCAAAAAAAATTCGGTTTTGCCGACCTCTAAATGATTGAGCTTGGCATATTATTGCCCACCTCAACTTTCCTAATTCCGAGGGTTGTATATATATATATATATATACATATACATATACATAGATATAAATATATATATATATATATATATATATATATATATATATATATATATATATATATATATATATATATATATATATATATATATATATATATATATATATATATATATATATATATATATATATATATATATATATATATATGTATATATTATATCAATGTATTAATACTAATGATTTTAGTTCATCAACATACACAAAGTTTAAAAAGCATAGTTCTAAAATGAAATCTGTCGAACAGAAGAAAAAATTGCAGGTGCTGATTTGTAGTATTAAATAGTAAAACAATTGTTTTTAGTCAGAGCTAGGTTTACTTAAATAATATTTTTTATTTATGTAAATGACCTAGGGCGGTTTACTTAATAAAATTTTTTAAAATTGTCCAAACCAAACCCTCAGTCAATGTAGTGGCACACACATATTTGCATGTTGTATTTGCAGTTTGTAATTAATTTTCTTCTTTTTTACATCCTAGTATTAGACAAAAGAAATTTTAAATTAAGTTTCTTAGACATCTAGGCAAGTCTTTAACAACTTTTATTGCTTTTTCAGCGGATAAATTACTGCAATGCAGTTTGCAATAATTGATGGTTCTTTAGTCAAATGCGTTTTCCAACAAGTAAGAGCTTTCTGGCAATTACCAACTTTCTTGATATCTTCTTCAAGATCACTAAAATTATTTTCATTAAAAATGTTTCCCAAACCTTATTTTGTACCACTAACAAAATTACAAACTACTTCAAGTTTTTTACCAGTATTAATGGCAGTTGTATTTTTTATAATCATTTTTATACAATTCCATAAATTAAAAGAGTCAACAGATTCAACTTACGAGTTTTGAAAAATTTTTTCAGTTTAAGACAAGAACAGCTAATTTTACTTCTACCATTTTTCAGAACCACTACGTAGTGTTCATTATAGTTAAAATATTTTCCATCAAAATGGAGGCACCAGTTTTCCTTTTTAAAGTTTTTTTAATGACATTTTTAAGTTTTTTGCTTCTCTTATAGTTACTTTATATATTGATGAATGATAAGTTGTGTATATACCTAATCCAATATCTTTAACTAAAAAATTGCACCGCTGCAACTTTTCTTGATGATAACTTTGCTGCTGTTGATAATTTTAAAACCGATGAAGTTGTGCAATACCTCCTTTTTCTGGAGTTAGTTAGCCACACACCTTTCAAATGAGTAATATCAAACAATTGAGTAAAAGAAGTGTTGACTGATTTTTTTGGTTTTCTTAAATATTTGATAATTAAATTCTTTGATTGCTTTTATAAAATGTTACTGAAATTATTCTATTATATTAAAAAGACAAATACTTGAAATATATATATATATATATATACATATATATATATATATATATATATATATATATATATATATATATATATATATATAAATATATATATATACATATATATATATATATATATATATATATATATATATATAATATATATATATATATATATATATATATATATATATATATATATATATTTTAATTATTTCTGAAATTTGTTTTTGAATAATTGTTTTTAATCGTTATTCAATAAAAAATAATGATTTTTTTTATTTTTTAAAATTTCTAGAGTAAACAAAAAATATTAACATTGATAAACACAAACCCATGTTAATTATTTAAACAACAATTTTATTTTGACTAGCAAAGAAAAATTTAGGTTTTTAAATATTTTTTAAATTTATCTTGCTTAGCGTTTCAACCTGCGTTTTATAAAAATATAAAAAAATTTTGTCTGCTTTGAGCATATTTTTGATACAGAGTTTAGAACGCGTTCGCCAGGAATTTAATTCATAAATTTTTTATGTTATTGTAAAAATATTTAACTTTTTAAACAAATCACAAAGAAACAGAGCTATATTTAATTTAATTTTTTTTTTTTAATTTTAGGAAATTAAAAAAAAAAAATTAAATTAAATATAAAAGTCTTAATTATGCAAACTCTTTTGTTAATTATTCTTAAAACAAAAAAACAAATACTTCTACGCCATACTTTAATCGTGCAAACTTAAAAAAATACTCAACTGAAATAATTTAAGTATATTTAATAATTTGAATTGTATCTGTTTATAATAAACGTTTGTAAAAATTTGTTCATTAAAAATTAAGTTCCTTAACTTATAAACAAACTCAAAAGTATTTTTATTCTACGTATAATTACAAAACTCTTTTTTTTTTTCGTTTGGAAGCAATTTAACTTAATAAAATAAAAAAAAGAATTAATATGAGGTAATCTTTGTTAAGAATAAATTTAATTTATTTATTGAACTATATTTTTATTTTTAATTATATATCAACTTAATTAAAATGTAATAATATGTTAAAATATTTTAACATGACTTGTATTATTTATAAACTGTTTAGCAGTTGCCCTTACGGCACTATTGTTTTTGTATAATATTTTATTTTGATGAAGATCACATAACTTACATTATGTGATCATCGCATCGGTAAAGCATCAGCAAAGTCCTAAGATTTAAAAGTTTTTAAAGTAAATCTTTTGTCCTTCAAAATACAATCCATATTCGAACTTTAAACAATTTAGAGATAATAGAAATATACAAGGTTTTTATATACTAGTTTGTTTTGTTTTATAAAGAAAAATACATTCATTAGTAAAAAAAATGGAGACTGTCATTAAACTAAAATGTGCCTTAGTATTTATTTAACGGAACCTGTAATGTGCGCGTGCATAATAAAACCTCTGTTATATAAATATATTCAATGTAATATTAGTGTCATCAGCGGATGTTATAGTCTACTCATGATTTCTTTACCTTATAATATAACTTGATTTATGAAAAAAAAAAACTTATTGAATCGCACGCAGAAGAAATTTAACAAATTGTCTTCATTTAAATATTGCGAGTAACAGGTAATTTTTTTTTTCTGTGCTGACCCCCTCCCCCTGCATAACTTAAACTATATACCTTTAACTAATAAGAAAAGCAAAGACATTTTTTTTAATATCTTGAAAAAATGTCTTGATATTTTTGTTATCATGATAACAAAAATATAGAAATAAGAATTGACATTTTTTTTTAATATCTCAAAAATAGCAAAGACATTTTTTGAGATATTAAAAAAAAATGTCAATTCTTAATTACAAATTTTTTTGCAAATGTTTTTTATTATAAATTCAGTAAAAAATTCATAAAAAATCTATATTACAAAAAACTTTTATATTCTGTATTAATAAATATGGAATATAGATTTTTTAAAAGTATTTTACTGAAAACTTTAAAAAATTACTACTTTTTATTAAAAACATTGCAAAAAATTTGTAGTTAAGGATTGACAAACTATTTTTTATGTTATCAAATATTTGGATAAAAAGTTTAGCGTCAAATTAATTGCTATAAAAAGGAAAGATATATCGCGATGAAAAGTTACAACAATTATTTTTAAAGTAAATTTTTTTTTTAAATAAATATCTTTACATATCGTTATTTAAAAGTTAATGTGGTTTTTTTGAAAATTAATTACTTCTTTTATGTTACCGCTAATTTAAAAGTTAAAAAATGATAAAAAGTAGCTTAACCAAAACAGCTCTACGCGTACGTAAAAATCGCTAAAGGTGTACGTAAATCGCTCTAGGCGTAACGCTTTAAAACAAGGCCTGATATATATATAAATATATATATATATATATATATATATATATATATATATATATATATATATATATATATATATATATATATATATATATATATATATATATATATATATATATATATATATATATATATATGTAGATCAGGGCAATAACATCCGTTTTTGCTATGTATAATAACATCCGTGAAACAACATTCAAAATTTCATCGATGTACAGTGGTTTTCATAAATTTAGACGCACTCATATTTGAGAATAGAAAATTTTAGGTATTTTAACGATAAAACAATGACGAAAAAAGATTTCGGTTTAGTTTTTTTTCTATTTATCAGATAAATACATACAGAATACAAAATTTAAAAAAAGTTTACAAAAAAAATGAAATACTAAGTAATAATTAGGTCCAACTACATGGTATTAAAAAAATTAGACAAAAAAAATTATTCATAAATTTAGACGCACGATACATTAGAAGGCGTAATTTATGAAACAATCAATATTTTGTGTATTCGCCTTTTGCTTTAATACAACTAAGAACTCTTCTAGACATAGACTCAACAAGATTTTTGCACATCGCTTCTGGGACCCCATACCAGGTCTCCTTAAGGAATTCCTTCAGCTGACCAAGCGTGGAAATTTGAACCTTTGCTAATTCACGATCAATCCAAGCCCAAATGTTTCAATCGGGTTCAAATCAGGTGAATATGGAGGCCACGGTATTGTCATAATATTATTATCGTTGAACCACTCCTTTGTAAAGTATGCAGTATGTGCAGTAGCGCTATCTTGTTGAAGTTTCCATGGTTTATCATTGAGCATAAGCAGGTCAATTGATGGAATTAAGTTGTTTTCCAGTACTTCTACGTATATTCTGGAGTTGATTCTTCCGGTTTTAGTTTGGCACATACCAACACCTTTGTAATTGAAGCATGACCAGATTCCTATCGAGCCTCCTCCACTTTGTACAGTTGGTCTAATGTACCTGGCGTAATACTTTTCGTGAGCCATTCTTTTGACTGTTATGTTAGATTTGCGATTGATAAACTCAAAGTTACTCTCATCACTCCACATAATGTTTTTCCATTGATCTATTGTCCAATACCTTCTTTCACGACACCATTTTAGTCTCCTTTGTTTATCATATGGATGCAGAAGCGGTTTCTTCAAAGCAGTGTAGACTCCAATCTTGTATTTGATAAGTATTCGGTGTACTGTGCTTTGAGAAATAGATGTATTTCGCGTTGTATTGAATTCTGTGGTCAAGTCTTTGTAACTAATTCTTGGATTAGCTCTGACAGCTCTAAAAAGAACACTACCGTCCTTTCTCGTGGTTGAGAAAGGACGGTACCTGGCCTCGTTTTCTCGCTGGCACCACCAGTGTGAAGAAAGTTTTGTTTCGTTGTCCGAACGCATTTCTCAGAAACTCCAATTAACTTGGCGATTTCTCTATTACTTTTGGTTTCTTCTTTGATGTGCGCAATAATTTGCCATCTTTCACCTTGAGTGATACGTCTTTTGCCCATTTTTTACGTTTTTTTAGTGCAAAACTAACTTAACTTTTGTTTATTTATTAAATAATGATTAAATAATTCCAGGTAAGTCATATT